AGGACGTCACCCTCACACCTACTACTTGTATCAATCTACCCTAGTTTTTTTATCGAAAATTAGAAGCCAACTACGACTTCAAAATGTTTGTAACCATATAAATTGTGTTTTTTTAAAATTTAATTTTTTTTTAAAATTAATTTTTTTTTATATTTTATATTGTTTTAATATATTAATTTTAAAAATAAAAAATATTATTTTAATATATTTTTAAATAAAAAATATTTTTAAAAATAATTATAATGACACGTCCAATAATCGCTCAACCGAGCATGTAAGAAAGCAAATGTGAACGGACAAATAAATGACTGTCCACTATCCAGCGTATTCACAAGAAGCTCCGAAGTAGTTAAAATGGGTGAATTTTTTTATCATAGGACGTCACTCTCACACCTACTACTTGTATCAATCTATCCTAGTTTTTTTATCGAAAATTAGAAGCCAACTACGACTTCAAAATGTTTGTAACCATATAAATTGTGTTTTTTTAAAATTTAATTTTTTTTTAAAATTAATTTTTTTTTATATTTTATATTGTTTTAATATATTAATTTTAAAAATAAAAAATATTATTTTAATATACTTTAACATAAAAAGAACTGCTTTAAACTTTTTTTTTTCTGAGATAAATTCCTTGATATAACTCGGAATGCAGGACATATGCATCACATGTTTAGTTATATAAAAATATATTGAAATATTTATTGTTTTTCCTTAAAGTCTAAGCTCGAAAAAACTTCCACCCACCTTTCAACTATTGAACGTGACGAGTTGCTTAATTTTTACTACAAAAAGAATAAAAGAGCTTTACCTAAATGGAAGATAAGGATGCAACTTAGGCTTAGCTCGGATGGTGATAGGATTTACTGTTATATATTATCATACGATATTGAAATTTCTTTAAAAAACGTAAATAATAAATTTCTCATGAATATACTCGTGATTTGCGGGCTTGACTAAATTTGGTCCTGGAGTATCCCCATTGTCAAAGAAAAGTTTAGAGGGTGGAGGATTTTACTGCCAATCGAGCTCCGTGCTCGTTCATTAGCAAAAGGAGCGCTTATTGGCAGCACAGAAGATGACATATGCCGCAGAAGTCATGATAACTCCTCCACATTGACATAATTCGACGAGAATTATTGGAAGCATACAAATTATTCGCATGGCGTCGTTTGACAGGAAAGGAATGGCATGTGTTGTCTGCGAGCGTGTATTTCGTGGAAGATACTTTGAAGGATGCAGCCGCCAGATAATTTGATCAAATCTTGCTTGTCTAAGCAAAATCTAAAACGTTCATCACGTCAACTACTGTTTTCTTTTAATTTTTATGTTCTTGTATATCTATGCAGCTTGTGATGGTCATACTTAAAGGAACCTTGGGCATATCATTCAATGGAAACAAAGAACCAGCTGCGTACGCAGAGATAGTGTCAATGGGCGGGATTACCAAACAAGTTAAGAGGAATCTGATCGCTACCCTTGGAACAATTCTTGAGGCAAAGTTATCCATCCCCAGGGCACGATTCTTCCTCAAAGTTTATGATACCACAGCTGCTGGCAACTGCTCCAAGTTGTAACTTCTGATAGGATGATGGCCATAGAGTTTCATCCTAACCATCTGGGTTTTCAATTTCTGTTCCGTTTTATGTCTGCTTATTTTTAAATTGTCAGAGGTCGTCCTGTCAGGAAAAAAGAAAAGCAAAAAAAGATTAAAATGTTCAAGAAGACCTACTTGAATGTGATTATGCTCTATTGAATTTCCACTAAATTGAAGCAAATAAAAAAGGGCATTGTAATTTAGGGTTCTTTCTTAGCTATGTGATGATGACCTGTGTTTGGCACAAGGCACGATGGTATTTTCAAATCATCAAATGATCAGTCCGGCATGGGACATGGTGTTTGATGATACTACATAGCCTAGTCACTGATACTGTACTGTCATGAATTTATCACCACACACATATTCCCACTGAAAGCAATATCCTTAAAGGTATATTTGGTGCAACATCTTGGATGAAGAAACAGTGCCATCACGATTTACATCTAGTTCAGTCAATAACACAACTTAATGAAGAAATAGATGGATTCGTGCAGCTACCTTTACGGCTTACTCACGTTGAGCTCATCCTCAACAAAAGGACGTGTTTTTACCAGCCATGTCAACTAAATTCATGTTCAGAGCATGGAAACTAAAGGTTTGTAACGCCAACAGTTGGAATTTTGGAAGCTCTGGTGTTTTCGTTTATAGATTTAGGCAGCTCTGCCTTTTCCCATAATCGCTAAAGATATTAGGTGATTCTATCGATGGATGTACTTTATTTGAACAGCGTTAACCAAACAAAAGGAGGGTTTCTGTATAAAATCAACCAACAAAACCGAGAGATGCTGGCAAATGATGTAATTCAAGTGGAAAAACATAGAAATGTTGGGAGCCAGGATGGAGATGATTTCATAGCCAATTGCACTAGTTTTTAATGCCATGCACAATTCAAGAACCTATGAACTGCAAGCTATAGCAAGCCTGCCAAACGGTCAACATCCATAAATGATCCAGTTACCTGAGCTACAGACAATGATTGGTTTACATCAAATCAGCTCGTGCGAAAAGGGGAGAGGGGAGACATTCCTACAAATTCCAAAACATAGTCGGTGCAATTAATCATGTTTACTCTCACCACAGTACAGATCACAAATAACAATAAATATGCATCTCTTCGAGCTAAACTATTTAACAGCTCTACCCTATCTCATGCAGAAGCAGAAACAGAAACAGGAGCAGGCTAGCATGTCAAGGCGAATTCTTGCAAGTTATTTCAGAGTAACGGCTGCATTTCTCAATGCAAGATACCTATGCACATGCTCATTTGGAAGTGATCTCACGAGTTTGAAGACATCAGTATTTGCATAACGGAGGTTGGTCCTTGGATCATGGTAAGGTGCCTGCAGAAGAAGTTCGCTATGTGTAAGAGGGTCTGTAAAGAGATTGGTATACTATTCGATATTGTTTCAGATAGCCTTCAAGATAGTAGGAGTTAATCATTGCATGTTCAATCTGTATTTGATGGGATGAATGGAATTGATAGCATATGGTGTCGAAGTGTCAAGCTACTCAAGAACAGAGGATAGCTAGGCTCTTTACCTTTTAATTTCGTATATCAACATAAACATTTAACAAGGTCAGCACAATCTTGAACGCCATGCTCAATCCTGAACAATCTAAACTTCAGCACCATGGCTTCTTCCAGCTAAACAAAAGCAGATGTATTAGGAATCCAGTTGGAGGGCATCCCAGGGCACCTTCAAAGATGCGTACCAGGACATAACAGGGCACATTTGCTTCATCAAAGTTGCAAGATTACATGTTAAATCTGGTCAAACAAATTTATCTTTGAATTTTTCCCCACCCACTAACTTACAGTTTCCACATTTCTAACAAGCAATAGAGTACTAGGATGTAATTCATCCTCAGAAATATTGCTACAACAGATCAGCCAAGAATTAGGCAAGTCAATGTATCCAAATTAAACAACTTGTAATGTTATAAAAAAACCAGCAGCTTGTATAGAATAGTAAGCTGTATATTCACGTTAATATTCAAAGAAACAGATAAAACCTTTCTTCCATTGAAACATCCTTTTTTCTCTAAATTTCCGCTATTTAGACTGCAAGCATTAATTGTTTTATTGACTGAATAATTTTTTAATACAAGAGTTCTAATAATAAATTTAAGAAAAATAATGACAAGATTTTAACAGAAAAAAACTGTTCTATAACAGCTTTATTTGCAACAAATCTCCTAACTTATTGGAGATAATCTTTACTCAACCTTCTCAGCATCGAAAACCACTTCTTCAGCGGCAAATGAGGCAACCATCAACAAACCAGCTGCATACGCAGAGATAGTGTCAATGGGTGGGATTACCAAACAAGTTAAGAGGAATCTGATCGCTACCCTTGGCACAATTCTTGAGGCTATTATCCATCCCCAGGGCACGATTCTTCCTCAAAGTTTATGATACAACAGCTGCTGGCAACTGCTCCAAGTTGTAACTTCTGATAGGATGATGGCCATAGAGTTTCATCATGAGATGCTTTCGATGAAGGGGAAAAAGATGGAACTTTTAGTCCTTCTTTACCACTCGATTCACATTTTGTGGATGATGGGTTGATATTGGGATGGAGTTTGGACCAAATGCATTTGTTTTCCATTGAGAGCAGCACGATATCATGGGTTCGGTGGAAATCACAGTCCACCATTTTTGTGGAGGATAAAGTGTTCTAAGAAAGTGACTTGGTAGCTGAATTGGTGGAAATCACAGTCCTTTACCTCAAAGTCCCATTTGTTTAAAAAAGTGCTTCATTTAAAAGGTTGGAATCGTTCAAAGTTTTTCATCAGAGACTAATCACACAATAACATGAAATAAGTCTAATTTTCTATTACATATACTGTAGTTAGACTTGATCCTGTAATCTGATCGATTCATGGTCCATTCCTTGATCTTGTACAGCACAACGTTTGTGCCTTCGGGGTGGTCCAGGTCCTGCCATCCTCTTGCATATATCCTTGCCAATCCAGCTCAAGACATGTGCTTCCAGACAGTGAAGTAAGGGCAGGGGCAAGTGTGGGATTTCTTGATTTTGAAACTCTTCCTTCCTCAATTATATAAGGAGGTTTTAAGCATCGGATTTTGAAGCAACAAGTGTGGATTTCCTAGTCCCTGATCTTTTTGGTGACAGAACTTTTCTCTCACGCATATTTATTCTCTTACAAAGAAGAAGAAGAAATAAGGGCTGAGATACAAAGATTAGATTCAGATAAGATGCCTTGCCTTTATATCTCCACCAATGTCAACCTTGATGATGTTGATAAGGATCCCATCTTTTCCGAGGCCACAAAAGCTGTTGCTTCCATCATCGGAAGACCTGAACATGTAAACACTCTCTATCCCTCCAACTCTCTTTTCCTTCAATTTCTTCTGCTTGTTCATGTTCGAATTCTGTGGCCTCCAAATGCATGCCTTGTTCCCTTTGATATGTTGGCCCACAGCCCAGTTTGTGTGTTGATTTTCTTTAATGGTGACCCGTAAAGGTTAAAGAAGGATCGGTTGCTTAATTATTTTTAATGTTAGTATTTTAAGGAGGCCACTTTCTCCAATGGAAAGTTAAATAATTTGATAACTTCCAATAAGGATCACGTTCCCTTTACCCTTCTTAACCCATTCGACCCAACTTGCTAAGATAGTTTCAGATTTGATTTTCGATTTCTGGGGCATTTTTTTGAAGCCGTATCCAAGTTTTTTTTGGGTAATGCCGAGGAGCCATGGCCATTTTATCTTGAGTTCCCTTCATTTTTCCCAGATGAAGGGGTTGTCCACCTGACGTACAGAAAACCAACCTTCTTTCCTTTCTTTAAAATTAAAAAAAAGGTAACTTGGCTAAGCAAGTGAGCAGTGGCGGTCAAGATTTGGCAAGAATCTTGAGTGGTCCTTCTAGGTTACAGATTCGGCCAAGCCAAACACCCTGTCATAAATTTGATCAAATATACCTCCCCTCCTTCAGTTAAGGGTGATTTCATCCAACTTGGATATGAATTGAATGGCTAGATGAATGCCACATTCTATAGGGGGATTGGATGAAGAACCTTAACTGCCTTTAACAAGAAATATAGGGGTTAATTTGACCAGATTTAAAGCACAGGATCTAATTAAACTACATGC